AAATGGCTTGGTATTTGACAAAAATGACTTGAAATTGCTTCGCCGATCATGGGATGTGGCTATGTAATAAAACAACAAGCTGACGTTGCCCACTACTAAAAATTTTGAAATAAAAATATAAAATTATGAAAAAACCACTTCAAATAAAGTGTGTGGTTATGGTGTTGTACTTACAAAAAGGAGGTCACATATAAGGTTATGTTTCCTAACTGCTAATGGCTAATTTTCGCAATTTTCCAAATTTAATTGGCCCTAATCATTTTGTGCTACTGATCGGCAAATCACGAGATATAATAAAGTAACATTTTTAACCGATAATATAAAAATATTATATATAAAAAATTTTAATAATGTATACTTTTTTGGGATTTATTGAAGTACGATCGATATTTAGTTGGCAAGTGACGTTTGCACTTTAATTTTATTGTGGATTTTTTATTATGACATACTGCATGACGACATACAAAAGTAAACGTAAAATTTTTATTGAAAAAAATTTCGGAATTCTGCGATACAATTTCTGAAATTCTTTTTTTTAAAAAAAAAATCAGTAATATTTTTCCTTTTGAGAAAGAGAAAAATTTTTTTTATATGATTCATTTAGGTTATTTGGGCTAATATTAAAAATTATTTAAACAAAAGATGAATGACAGATGACTAATTCCGAAGAGCGCCAATATGAATTCATTGGAATTTTCGATTTTAACAATCCTGTATACAGTATCAAAAATAGTGAATATTTAACCAACTTATGTGAAAGAAAGTTACCAACCAATGTATACTTATTATTACCAGTAATATATAATGATCATACCAATAATGTATAACAATTGTTACAAAAATATGTAACAATCATTACCAGCAGTATAATAGAATCCATTCTCGTTTTTTGCACCAAACAATTTTATTTATAAACCTTTTCTGGCTACATGAACATTTTCTGCTTAACTTAAAGGACAAAAAAAAATTATTAACACAGAATTTGTATACTACATATCATTTTCAATTTTCACAGTTTCACTTACAATATGTAGGTTAAATGTTAAAAAGTAACTGTTACAATGAGATATTCATAAAAGAAGCCCTAAATCTTGTCACCAAAGTCACATGCCTGAAAATAATGTCCAAATATTTTATTTGAAATATGTGTTTAGTGTGGTACAATAAATCTGATTCAAATGTATTCCAAGAAATGAGTTAATGGATTAACAAATTAAATGGCAAAATTCATCTTAATAAAGTCTTGACATGATAAAAATAATTTAGAAACATATGGAAAATTGGTTTCATTTTATTTTTTGGATGTGTTATTATCTCCTAATATTACTGATTGTAATTGAGAGTTGCATTAAAACATGATGATCATATACCTTAAAGGATTTTATTCTAATTAACATTTAAAGTCTATTATAATTAGCATTGGAATAATTATATATGAGATTATGAGGTATTTCAGATATCAAATGAGATTAAATTTAGAATTAAATAAAACCAAATCAGTAAATCTTATAATTTTAAAGATCAATTATTTCTTTTTTAATAATTTTATGATCTCTTCCTGTACTTCCAATAATTCTGCTTGTATTGACTTTCGTTTTTAATTCATTACATTTGTGACAATAATATCTTTGTTTCTTTTCATAAAAAAGTTCATATCAGTATTGAAAAGTTAGATAAAGAACTTAATATAATTAAATAAATACCCTGTATTAATCTACTATGAATTTTGTTTTTAGGAAATTAGTTGCTCTGTTGGATGAAGTTGCTTCTTGGAATATAACTGCTCAGGTTCTTCAGGTATGACTGCTTGGGTTCATCAAGATACGTTCAGATAAGACTGCTCCAAATGGACTATTCTTCAGATACTATATAAATGAGCAAATAGAAATAATAAGTATTAGCAAAGAAGAAATAAATATTAAACAACAACAAAGGAACTTACTTGTTCATATTGTATTGGCTCATTTGTACCAAATTTATACATTCAGAGAATTTAATTGTTATGGTTTTGAAACGTGATCCATCACTCTCATAATCCATTGGCATGTCTTTTTTTCATCATGTTTATTAGAAATACAATTGCATTCTATGCATGCCAAAATGAATGATCCCAAATTTGAAACCAAATTAATTTATTAGTCAATACACAAGATACAAACAAGTTGTTATTGCGTACTCAATCTCTCTCACTATTTTCGTAAAATCCATTGTGTATGCTTCCATTAAGTTTAGCAATAAATAATGGAGAATCATATTCTTTTTCATGTTCTTTTTCATATTTTTTTTCGTGTTCTTTTTCATATTCTTTTTCATATTCTTTTTAACGCTTTTCTAGCTTTTCTGGCTCTTTCAGCTCATTTGATTTCTTTAAAGATTTTTGAACTACTTGACTGTATAATAGGGATGGCATAGGACCCTAATGCTGCCAAAGCTCATTCCCTCTTCTCCTTCAGAATCAGTAGACCTTATAACAGGAATATACTTCAAAGATATCAATCTAAAGATAACAAGTAGCATAAGTGGCATGACAATAATAATAATAACTAACTTTATAAAAAGGAGGCATTACAATATTATACAAAGAAGACATGCTTGAATATGAGAAATAAAAGAGTTTTAAAGGTATATATATGTATATATATTTAAAAGTTTTGGAGGTATATATTTATATATTTTTATAAACTCTGCACCCACTAGAATGGTTAAAATAAAGATCCGCCTGGTTAGTAAATTTATTATAAATATAGTTAGTTGTCCAAATTACACTTGGAAAAGAACTATGATGTAATAAGTCACACCATATACCCAGTTTATACTCTTGTGACAGGAGTAATCAGCATAAACACTTAAAATACTGCGTCTTAATTGCTACGCCTCAATTACTGCTTACTATGCCTCACTTACTACGCCTCACTTACACCTTATTTTACTGCACCTTGTATCCCCTTGTATTACTTCCCTTACTTATTATTAGAAAAGAAACTTCTTTTTGTATTATATTTAATTGATCATTACTCTCTCCTCACTATAGGCAAATGATTTTCCTGACATTCTCCCCAAATTATTTTTCTATATCATTAAACCACTTAATCTCTTTATTCCATTGGCTTGTCATCTGTGCCTCATTTGTTGATATTGTACTTCAAATGTTTTCAACAATTTTGTTGATCTTTTAATAATTAGTTACTGCAACTTTTTTTAGCGAATCCAAATTTTTCTTATACCAGAATTTCTCTGAATTTTCTCCCTTTTTAATTTTCTTCCAAAAATTATTATATTTTGATCTCTTGTTTTCTCCTGAAATTCTTTCTTTGAAATATCCATATATTTTTTTATTAATTATATATTTTCCTTCTCCCATTAGCTCTTTATTTAGGATGAGATTATTTCTTAATTATTACATGACTTCCTCATAATTTCATGTAACTATCTCATAATTATCATACACAAATCCAAACATATGATATTTAATATTATACTTTTGTATCATATTTTTTATTAAAAATTGACTTTATAATCCTAGAAACAATTGAGTGCAAAATATTTGTAATTGAAAATTTGCATTGAAGCCTTAACAGTTAACACAAAGTTTTATAAATAATACATTGAACAGATATGTGCTACATTTTATATTCTAAATTTTATATTTTAATTTAATTAAAAAATCATTACAATTCAAAGTTAAAACAATAAAAAGATATTATTGGGCGTTTTTTATAAAACTAGTAACGATTTTGTTGATCATTTGTTGATCATTTATTTTTAAATTTATTATAAATTTTGTCACGAGATTTTCTATGGAAATCATTTCTCAATTTGTTATTAAAACACCTGCTGAATTGCCTCGAAATTAAAAATCATTTCTCTTATTATAAAAAAATTTCCTTTTTGGTAAAAAACTCTCAAATTAATCTTATATAACTTTATATGTAAATGACAATGACAATGACAATGAAAAAAACTTCTAATGCCAACTTTTCGCAAAAACTCTTCCTGTGCCACTAAAAATACCTGTTAAATTGAGACATCATTAAATATTTGCATATTTTCATTTGTTTGCTGATCAATTTCGCTATTATAATATTATTTACTGTTGTAGCATTTTCGCTATAATTTAAAAAATTTTTAAATAATTTTAACAAAAAACGTTTTATCGTTAATTAATAAATTATAGTTTTTCAATTTAATTTTTAAAATGTTAATTTCAAAATAATACATGTATTATGACAATTTCTCTCTATAAAAAAAATAAAATAAATAAAATAAATAATAAGTAGAGGTTAGAACCATCCAAAAAAACCTTAACCAGTTAATATGAAAAATATTTAAAATTTTTTTTTACTTAAAATTGTACCAATTTTCGATTTTACTAACTTTACTAACGCTAATACATTTAGTTGAAAAAAGACTATTTGAATCACTACCATTATTAATAAATAGGAAAAAATTCGGTATTAAATTTTGAGTTTGGAAACATATAACTGAATTACTAAGTCTCTAGGCAGCATTAAGTAAATCTGATCAGAATTACTGATATATTTATGGTCAAAACAGTTTTAACCAGTTAATCCTGCTAATAAGATCCTTGTGTTAATTAAATTTTGACAATAATTTGTCTTATGGATTATAAAATTTTGATATTTAACACTTTTGGGATTATAGAATTTGATTATGAGGATAATGCACCATTGGAATTTTAATGGATGAGTTCCCTTCAGTGTACAAAAAGTTTTAGAAAAATTCCGAAAATCTTCTGAAAAATACTACAATCTGCCCTTTTAGAAAATCTGGCAAAATTGAGTAGATTTTACGCTGGCCCCCTTTCTTGAAGTGATACAATTAATTATGATAATCAAGTTTTTTCATCTTGTACTTTACCAATTATATAAAAATCTGTAATGCTTTATTCACATTTATAGATAGTTTGCAGGTGTTTTTTTCTCTACACTCAAAATAATATAAAATCTTTCAATTTTTTTTTATCAAAAAAATTAAAAAAAATGACCGCTACTCTGTCAGTTATCGCACTTGTAGTACGTTTAAGAGAATCCTCTCACACAGCATTTGGGGACGCTATCTATCGTGAGAAAGTTTCCAATGAAAATCCTGTTTTTGGATTCAAACAGTTTTCAAACGCGCTGCACGATTATAATGAGGCGTTTAAAGAAGGGGACTTAGTCCATTTTGGTGGAAAGTTCACTATTGATGACAATAAATTAATGGTAAGTAATTTTTGTATGTATCTAAGGAATAATGACATATAATAATTTTAATAATAATTTTATAATTTACTTAATAATAATAATTATAAAAATGATAATAATCTAATAATAATAATTATAAAAATTTATAAAAATGATAATAATTTAAATAATTTTTTTAATATTAATTACAAATATAATATTTTCATTTGTCTTTTTCATATAAACAGCTCTTAGTTGAAGCGGCATGTGTGCTAGAAACTCAATTAGGACGTAATGGAGAACGTTTGAAATGGGAACCTGAAAAAATTCCATCAACAAAGCCGTTCGTTCATATCACTACTTCTGCTTGTGAACCATTGTCAACATCAAATAATATGAATTTTGTTAAAACCAAATCGTTGAT